TGATTCTATGATTCTACGATTCTATGTCTGTCTCAGCCTATCAGCCCCACTTTTACACTTTTGTATGTTAACTAGTGAAGGAGAACAAAACTTATCCTCAGAAAACGGGTATAATCAGGTTTAGGATTTCCCAAACATTTAAGACAGTCACTTATGTCACAGCAAGCACTGTTTACAGAATTTCTGTGCACACTGGCTCCAGTCCCGGCATATGAAAGCCTTGCCCACTGGGTCCTTGTTAGAACACAATTATACAGACCACCCCAAACCAGCCTCTTCCTGCAGTTGTTAAGGAGTGGCATCCACACACCAGCTGCAGGCCTCAACTTCTGCTCCGTAAGACACAGGAAGCCCAACGATGTGATGAATTGTAATACTGACACCTTCGTGAGATCTGCATACCAAAACTGCCCTCTCACATTAGGACTATCACACCGACCAAAGCTGCGTCAGCCACTGTTAGACTGTGAGGCCCTTTATGTGAGATCAATCCTAGCACTGACAAAGACGTCTGTGGAGTTGGTTAATTAAGTCAAACAGTGTGAAGCCTCTAAACAAGGCATTTTCCTGACAACTTAGTAACCATAGTGCTGTTTGGCCTGGGAGTAATGCAGTAAGGCACGACCTAGTTTTTCCACAACTGTAACAACTCAGTTTCTTTTTCTCATAGCCATCCCACACCGTACCAATGTCTTTATAAGAGTGCTGGAGAACTCCACTGCTGCAAACAGAGTTTGCAAAGGACAGAGACTGAGTAATCCTAATTTGGACATGACAACACAAGATGGTGTCACTGTTTCAGCAATAATATGGTCCTTCAGCAGAGGACCATCAAGGTAATTAGCAGACTAGAGAAATGACACACAACAGGAGGGTTAGAGACCTGGATTTGTTCAGCCTTAGAAGGAGACTGTGTAAGGGGAGATACAACTGCTGCCTACAACAGTTTAACAGGTGGATACAGAAAAGAGGAAGCCAGATCCTCCTCAAAGTAGTGATAGGACAAGAGGCAACTGTCACAAGGTAAAATATAGAAAATTCTGATCAGGTATCACAACATTGTTTTTCACCATGTCATGGTCAAATACTGCAACAGGTTGCCCCATATGGTTACGGAATCTACCTTTGATATTCCAAATTTGACTGGTTAAGTAGTTGAGCAATCTAATCTGATCTCACCTGCTATGAAGAAAGGCTTTGACTAGATGACCTCCTGAGGCACCTTTCAACTGAAATTATTCTATGACTCTATAATAAGCCCAGACATCCACCCACTCTGTAGAATAAAATAGTTCCAGCTTAGCTGCTCCTAAAACATGTTTCCATTTTAGCTCCATTACAAAAGTAGTTCAGGAGCCCCCATTAAGAAGTCTGATTAGTCCACAATAAAAAAATCATTATTGTTCTTCAAGGCAAAAACCAAACTTCAGTCTTATCAGACACTCAAGCAGAATTCTGGAAAACATATTAAAACAGACTTACTGCAATAAAGGGGGCAGGATATTACAGTCCAATACATAGTCTCTGCACATAGTGCTGTCTCCAGCAATGTTGCCAAGAGCCCATACTGCCTGCAATGAAAAACAGAACAGTAATTGCTTTTATTCTCACAATTCAACCACTTTAGTGTATGTATTAGAGTGGAAGATACTCTGTTTTCACTGTTAGATCCTGGACAATGTACAGAAGGGGAATGCATTCTGGTTGACTATTACATATATACACCCAAGCTCATTATATGATGCAGGAATATTTACACAGATCTAAGAAGAATACCAAAACAGCCAACATGTATGTCTCCAAAGACTTTGCAGACAGACATAACCTTGCTCTGTCCACAACATAAGAGGTGAGCTTATTCCCTCAGGCTTAGTAACATACTAATTCTACACTCTTGATTCAGAGCTGGTTCAAGTCCAGATGTTCATAGCACAGGTCAAGCAAGTTTGTATCTACCCAAAAACGTTTGTGTGGAACAGCCCATATTAGTATTTCCTAAGAAGCTATAAAAGCATGCGTTGTTTACACAGTCATATTAAGAATGCTGACACCAACTAAGATGAAAACAAGAATCTATATGCAAGATAAACCAATATTCAAAATCGAAGAGTTCAGATGGGCATTGGCATATATTCTTTAAGAGAAAACTATACAAGACAGAACTAGCGTTGCCTATTAAGACATATGCATGGCAAAACGCAAGGACGTATTTTCTCCTTTGGACATCAGTATTACTGTAACCCTTCATTTTGAGAAGAAAAGATCTAAAATACCAGAAGATAATTAAAAAGCACGAAATCCATCTTCTGTAATATGATGAGAATAAAAGATTTAGTTGGTTTTTATTTATACATTTGGGTCAAGTGGTGTTTTTAATATCACTGTCCACTAGTATGAGAGCTATAACTGAAAAAAATTAAAACTAGTCTATATGAAGCATAAAAGCCATTTTATGAATTCCATGCGATTTACAGACAATATTTTGTCACACAAGAAAGTGTATGAAACTCACATTTCCTATTTATTTCAAGTTAGCAGAGGGCTAAGTGTCATATCAAACAGATACGTGTATCTGTGTATTTGGCAAGACCCATACAATGTCTACACAACCACTGGAAATACTTCCAATACTGCACACAGAGGACAAAACCAATCCTATTTATCATGGACAACAGCTGAATGTCCTCCCCAAATTTCTCTTCAGTTGAAAACTATGTATTTATTTGCAGTAAAATGTGTTACAGTGCATAACTATTTCTCCAACTGAACATACATAAGTTCCCCACAGAAAATAAGCATGTTTTTCTCTCCGTATCTCTACTTGAAATAAACTACTCCTCTAAAAAAATTGACAGAATAAGCCAAATTTGGTACCTAAAAGAAATTCTTGGATAATCTGAAATAAACTTATTTATTCGTTATCGATATGATGTCAATCGATTTGTTGCATTAGATTTCTACTCTAACATATTTTTAAACCGTGGCAAAAAGATGCTACTTTAAAAAACAGACTCCAACCACTCTAGAGGCCCCAAACCACTAGCAAATCCTGCAAAATTAATACAGCTAAAACAAGATGTATATACAAAATGTATATACAAAAAATAGATACAGATGTCAGCTTGCTAGATACAAAATAAAAAAACTCCTCCTCTGTACCAGTATTACCAATAACACCATAGATAGATTGATCGGAAGTCCCTAAACTGCAAGTTGTTCAAAGAGACTAGGAGGCTATTTTGGGGAAGGATTAGTTTGTTTTGTTCTCCTACCAGTTTCCAGGCTTCTGCTGTCAGCCACAGCCAGAGACAGGGCACCAGGCTATACTGACCGTTGCTTTGAAACAGCACAGCTGTTACTATGCAATGTCCCCCCAAAACTGATCTTCATCATGAAAACTTATTTTTCATTCCAGTTCTTATTATTTTACAGCTATTGTAACAACAGTTTGTCTGAAATAAAAGTATAACCTTGCGTCTGGCAACCTCATGGACTCAAGATGGAGAAGGCAGCTACTGGAAAAATTTAGCTTAAGAGACAGAACATATGCCACCTCCTGCAAATGTCATTCGTATTAGAACTGTAAGAAGCCACGCTCGTTGCTCACTGCAATGCTTGTATTCCTGCAGCAATGAGAAGCCCGAGGAATGAATTAAAGATTTCAGCTGGTTCTAAACAAACTTGTGAATCTTCTAAAAACATTTAGGGGTGAAAAAAGTTAGAATTTGCAATAATTTCCTTTTATTGAACATGTGAGTAACTTTGTATGAAGATACAATCTCCTTGCCTGGACACCCTTACACATGTTAAAACACCCCTGGAAGCCGTGTTCCACTTGTCTGTGGACTTTGTTTCTGCCATTATAGCAGTATTATTTTTAGGGTTGACAACAGTGATAATCACTTAATCCAAGAATCCATTCTGACCCTGAATGACAGACTGGTTTTGCAACAGCAAATCTCACATCAAAAAGTCTGACCAGAGAAGTCAAATAGCATCTCTACTGCTTTCCCACTCTTGATTTTTTTATGGCAAGAGAAGTCTGGCCAAGTACTCTGATATCACATGACCTGGTAAAAGAGGATGTTGCAAAAAATCCTTGTAATGCTAGTGACTGATAGTGCACAAGATGCAAAGAAATTGAAATATCTTTGGAAAAATATGCAAGGTTTTATTCAACAAGGAGGACGTCTTTCCTTAAGGAATTACTTCAGCTTTTCAGATAAGTGAGGAACATTAAGTCAAGCTCATTTAAATTCTTCTCATCAGACACTGCTATAAATACAAAGCTCTGTCATGGTTCCCACAGATGACATCTGAACAATGACAAGTGCCTTCAGGGTTTGTTTGTCTGAATAACATTCAATGATTTCCATTGCTTCTTTTGTGCACTCCTCAAGATGCAAATGGCTTGCTTGCCATAACATTTTGGCTTCGTTCTACACATCCCAAATGTTTTTATCTTCTTTTCTGGAAGCTGCAGAGGTAAAAGGATATTTAATTCCATTAAACTTCAGAGTTTATTAAACCCAAAAAATATTTGACTCTAAAAAAAAAAAAAATTCCATTTCAGTACTTTCCAATATCTACATCCAGACCTGAAGATGAAAAGAACCTGTAATTTCAACATTTGTAGTCTGACTTTTTAACCAACATCTTAGGCAGCAAAGTTATGTGTAAACTGAAAATGCAAATGCTGCCTTGTCAGTTGACAGTGTCTATTTTTATAGACCTGTATAAATTTCCATTTATTGCTAATAATGGAGTAGGGATTGTTGCAGGTCTCCAGTTTATTTTACTCGTTATTAAACTCCAGTGTTTTTTCCTGCAGTGCTGGACAACTTCAGCAGTGAAGAACAGTAAGGTGCAAGTTTGTAGAGTACTGTTGAGCCATATGGTGCCTTCTGTGAATAATCCATGCGCTTTCTGACAACACTCTACTTCCCCCTGGATTCTGAAGGCGCTCAGCCATTATTTCATTAGGCCTTTGGATATTTAAAACCAAGTGTTAAACCAACCACCAACAGCGCGTAGAGTCTTTGTCTCTTGGTGGAGAAGAAATATTATGAAGTGAGAATCAACCCCTTCTCTACTTTTGGCCGCTGACTTGGGAAATGGATCTAATGCTGGGATGAAGACAGTGAAGATTAGCTTGCATACAAGTGTGATTGGATAAGTGAACACAAGGAAGGATACCAGAAGGCCAAATTCCTAGATGACTTCTACTATGCCCCAACACAGAAAACACCTTTCTTTCAGTGGCTGGGGTGGTCATAGTTCTTTATTGCTCACATATCATCCACCCAAACAGAGAAAGTAGCTCATACTCATGCCTCAACTGTTTTTCCTGATTTTGATTACTAAGACCTAGTTAGTAGGACTGCTGATGTAAAAGCCAAACAGAACTTGGGTCACCGGACTCACAGGTCACCTCTGCCAAACAAACAATGGTTACCAAAAGGAATAGCAATACAACTACAAATGGAAAAATACTGAGGGAGAAACACGTGGGTTGCTTTAGCCAAAAACACAAGTGTTCCCAAAGGAGAACAGGGCAGCTGGGGATGTTCCTGCCACTGGCTGTCCAGCAGAGCACAATGACACACATCTGTCACTGTGAGACGATCTCAATCACCTCAGGAAGCGTAATGCCTTGCATGGTTTTTGAAGGAAATTCAACGTTCATCAAGGAAACCCAAGCTGACATCTGGGTTTTAAATACCTCAGCAAGGGCACTCAGGAGAGAACTGCAGCTAAGACACTGCTGAAGCTAGATCAACGTTAAGCATGTCTAAATGGCTTTGATGGAGTCCTTCACTATAAATAATACCAGGCTAACATATCTGAATTTCTAGATGTCTTTTGGAAGAAAAAATTGTAAGTGGAAGAAGGCTAGGACATATGCCACTGACTAAATCTAAAAATCAGTACGCCAAAAACAGAAATAGGGTGTGGGGAGGAAGAGATGTAGCCAAAGAGTTTTTCATAAATAATGGGGATGTAGCTTCTGTAATAAACTCCGTTTCTTTGGTGGGAAAAATGGATGCCAAATGGTTTGACCACTGATCACAGGGAATATCTGAGAAAGACTGATATACAATGCAAACAATGAAAGAGTTAAAGGATGGCAGAGTAATTAAATGTCAGCCTGCATAGCTTAATGTGAAACAGATCTTGTAAAAAGACACAAGATACAATTTCATTAAAATACATGTTGTTTAATAAACATAGTTATAAAGATTCCCTCACACTCACTTCTATAAAACCACTGATTTACAACCACACCAGACTCAAAAACTAGCATATGCAAAAGAAACAGTGCAACACATTAGATTAAAATTGGCTTATAAATATGAAAAATAACTGCTGGAAAAATCATGATCAGATAAAGTAAACTGGTATCTGTTACTGAGCCACTGCTAAGGTAAGTTTGAAATAAAAGATAAATTCAGTGGTGTAAGTCTTACTTAAGACTTACTGTAAGACAAAAACAGTGGATAACAATTAGCCAGTAAGCCAAATTAAAATAATATTAAATATGAGTTGTTTTTTAGTTTATGCTATGATACATATTCAAAATTATATTACCACTTACATTTCCTTCTACAGAATTACTATCCCACTTAGCACAATGAATGGCTTACTAAACACAGCTCTCAGTATTTCTTTTTCTCTTCATCCTTTACTATATGGTTGTACGGCTAGCTTTTGGCCTATCTGCCCTGAACATGTAGTTATAGTTTCTGTATTTTCCTGTATTTTTGTAATTTGTTACAAAGGTAGCAAGAGTTGCTTGCAAATAATAATCTTCACAGTACTACTGTGAGAGAAGATAAGAATCATCATTTTACAGGGGAGAAAATTATGGCCGAATATCTTCCAGTTTCAGAAATCCAGCCTGAGAAGCCCAGATCCGCTCAAAACGCAGACCTAACTACAAAAGTCACTTGCGAAAGTGCTGAGTTGTCCTCAACTACAAAACGAAATGCAAATATTTCCCATTGAGCATTCAAAAAACACAGAACTAATATCTACTTACTGAAAACTGATACAAGCAAACTGTCCAGCATCAGACACTAAGCGGTAGATACACCTATCTCAGAAAGCTGCAACTGCCTTAATCGTAAGAATCTCTTCCCTTTTCTCTCCTTCATTCACTACAATGTGTCCCAACTTTAACAAACACGGCTGCAGTGTGACAAATAAAAGCCTCTTTTACTACCTGCTGATTTGTTACCAGGGCAACAATCTGTATAGATACTAAATGAGAAAAGAGTCATGTGGAAAAACACTATGCAATTGTGTATTAATGCTATCCTGTAATGCAGAAGTACAATAGCTAACATTTAAGTGCTTAATGCTTTTAATTTTTGTTTTAGTAGATATTATGGTGAAGTGTTTGGGTTTTTTAAAAGCTGTTGGAAGAAACAGGATTTCTTTCATGTTGGCCTGCCTTAAACCCAAAGTCAGCTATGAGCAGGGCTGCAACCTCTAGACCTGCAGAACAGAAACCCACCATGAAAAGGTGTAGGTAACACTTCGCAGTGGTGCATTTTCCTTCTTTAGCACAGCTTACTACAGAGCAATTTGTAACTGGTATTTAAAGACCTACCAGTAACAGAGATCATGGATTCAGCACCTGAATTACACAGAAAAGTATTTTCCGGTAATTATAACCCACTCTGCCTGCCTGCAATCTGAACTTTAACACGTCAGCAGTTTATTAGGAGGCAGAGGGGGAAGGAGGCAGATAAACTACTTAACTGTGGCCCCTAAGCTCTTTTGTTAATTCACGCATCTTAAGACTGAAGGCTGCACAACTCATTCTGAACAGGTTCGCTCTTCCCACCTGCTCTCTGAACATCAGGATGGATGATAATAACAACCTAATAAAAAAAACAAGTTAGCTCTTGCACAGAAGATCATTAGGTGCAAAAAAATGGAGTAGGCCTTACCACACTCAAAGCACCAATCATACTGCAGGAACAGCACTGTATAAGTGATGGTTGAATTTGGCAAGTAATGCCACCAATTTCAACCTAAAAAAAACCAAACTCTAAAAAGCATCACATAGCTAAGTCTGGAAGGATTTTCACACGGGCAGAACATAGCATTTATCTGCCATTTTTGGCAAGCTCCCTATCACATTTCTAGTTTCTACAACAACAAAGACTTATTTCCTCAAAGAAAGCTAAAAAAAAAAAAAAGGACAAAAAACCCACTTATTTCCTTCAACGTAATTTTCTCAAGCACCTGAATTCAATTTCTCTTAAAAAACCTTTTCCAAAATAATTCAGCCTGAGACAAAATGGAAAGTTGCAGAGTGGAAGAACTAGAAAGCTATAAGCAACTGTGAAAAGAAAGAAAAAAAAAAACTGTCTTGTGGAAAATGTTAGGCACCTTTAAGAACAGGTGGTACATTCTAAGCCAGCTATAAGAGAGAAAGGCAAGTTACACAAAGCGATCCAATGCTTATGAGTCGGGACTCATCATGCATCTCAATACAGCAAATGCAAGGTCAGACATCTAGGAACAGAGAATAGAGGTCACACTTACAGGATGGAGAACTGAACCCTGGTAGTTAGTGATTCTGAAAAGAACAATGGATCATATTGGATAATCAGCTTAACCTGAGCTCACAGCTAGCTTCTATGGCAAAGAGTCTGCAAAGACATCTGGGATATTTACACACCAAAGTATCAAGTAGAAATGAAAATGAGGTACTATCTCTGCAAACAGCATTGCTGGAAGAGTGCTACTGGAATATCCAGTGCTTGTAATTTCACCACCACAAAAAGATACTGAAACAAAGAAACATTCAGAAAAGGGTCACCAAAAAACAAACCAACCACCACAAAAATACCCTCATAATGAGAATTCAGAGCTTAATTTAATTTGCTCAAGAAAAGCTTAAGCTATGGTTTGTAAGTTGCTATAGGAAAAAACAGAGAGCTTACTAACTGAGTAGACAATGAAACAAAAGCAAATACCTGGACCCAAAGCTAGTCAAATTTGTACAGTAAATGTACATACTTTCAAGTTAGGATTAAGATTAACTGAAACTCTATTTGTTAACATGATTAATATTTCATCACCCTAAGTCTTCAAAGCAAAATTATATGTCTGAAATACATCCTTGTTCAAACACAAGTTATGGACCTCATGCGGAAATTACTGAGTCAAATGTTTGTTCTGTGCTCTACACTGATCCCTTTGCGCCTTACAGAATATTCATCTACTCTGTAAGGAACGTAGAGAACTATAATTTCCACTCGTGCTTTATCTTCAGGAGAAACAAGCATGAACTTGCCATCTCTAAAGCAATTTTTTAAACAAGGCTTCTTGAATTCCTCAATACACAGAAAAATATTAATCCATTTAGAGATCAAAATGCATTACCCCATTGGCTGTGGTTAAATATATAATTTCCAGAAAAAGAAAAATACAATACTTGCTTAAACATCTTAACACATACTAGGTAGAAAGGAACTTTTGTGCAAAACTGCCAAACACTACATTTCCTCTAAAGGCTTTCTTACAGAATAGCCTTGTTCCTTTCTGGGGAAGGGGAAAAAAAAAAAACCCACACCCAAACCCAAAACAAACCAACCTAAACAAACAAACCAACCAAACAAAAAACCAACCCTACAAACCACCACACATACAAACAAAAACCCCAACACCGTTCTTAATCTTTACCTGTTCTTGTACATCTTCAAACTCTGAACTAAGCAGCTCTATGAAGATGGGGACGGCTCCTGCTTGGATCACTATTCGAGTCTGAAGGGAATTTCCCGAGGCAATATTTGTCAGCACCCACGCAGCTTCAAACTGGAAAACAAAATACAAAAGAAAGTTTACTAGGAGCCACACCAAAAATGAAGACTAAATGTCTTTTAATGACAGAAGAAATTGGCGTAG